TAGATCAAAATAACATACTTTAGAAATATTTTCGGGTATAATTCACTGCGATTTTGATAATGAAAAATTTGCAGACTGTCCTTAAAATTGAAATAGCAGTTTTTGATGAGAAAGGTTTATTTTGTAGCATGTGATTAAAGCAGATTGATTTGTATTTGTTAAGGAACGGATTTAGACATGGTCTCAACACGTTGGCCATTCAAGACTGTTTTGAGTACCTGTTCTAGAATAATATAAGTGATGATAATGTTTATGTCGTTCAAATCTTATAGATGATAATGTTCATTAAATAACCCGTTGCAATACGCAACTTACGTATATCTTCTAAGTCAACATTCTCAAAGATAGCCTGCCAGGCAAGGTAAAATACATTCACTGGCAGTTGACAGAAATGACATTCTTTTGTGCCTACAGGTCAAATTTGATGTGTTTTTACAAAGTTAAAAGCCTTTAAAGTGAGTATTACCAAATTCGCACTGGACTGAGATACTATCAATAAATACACGCATACCAAGATGATCAAGATTCATCGGATGAAAACTGCAGCCTCGTGTGTACATGCCAAACTTGACGCGTTTTTATAAAGTCAAGGCAATAACTCCTAAGCCGTTCATCCGATTATTACAAATTTCAAACTCGACCGAAACCTCATCCAGTGGCGTGGTGGCTCCAAATTTCTGGTGGCAGAAATCGTTTTGGCGCCCCTAGACAACTGTGCCTTTTGTACAATTTAAACATTTAAATACAGACAATATTGCAAAACTCTAACTACTTATGGTAGCTAAGATAAATTAATTCTTAATAAGAGCATAGAATCAGAATATAATTCAGTTTAGCCATTGAATAAGTGCTTTTGACAGTTAAACATCACACCGGAAATGCTTCCTTACAGAAAATTAGATCAGAACATGTTAAGGTCGGCTTGCCTCGAGCATGGTTTAATCGAGAATGTCTTTAGAAAAGCGTTATAATATCTTCATAAACGCAATAACAATGAAGAATCATCACCAAGCCAATAGATTATATTATTAGAAACGCGCCTAAGTAACGCAATATGTTCACTTATGTGGCAGGTTGATAGCGAATTTTATGGGACTTTTGCTACCATTTTCTTCACGTTTGCCGGCGCCCAAACCGGGATTATCCTCGAGACTCTTGCCGGAATTTTTCAAAAATTAGTTCATCGTATTCAGGTGACCAGCAAATCTGCCGCTCGTATGCCATCGACAGCAGTCTAATCGTTTTTGCACCATGGAGGGTAAATAAACCACGCACAGCACTAACAAACCGAAGTATTCGCGATTTGACTCGTTTCAGGACAGAAAATAGGCGTTCAATTTTAAGAAAGTCCCATCTTCCTTCTCCTGGATTCAAAAGGTGCGTACTTTTGCCGGTATTATCATTTTGAATTATCCAGGATACCTATTTGATTCTACGCAATGATTTTAAAAATATTTTAAATTATATATTACGATTTGTGCACGTTTGTAGATTACGATTCATGTACTTTCGTAGATTACACTTCGTTTATTTTCGTAGATTACGATTCGTGTACTTTCGTAGATTACATTTCATGCACTTTCGTAGATTACAATTAGTGTATTTTTTTTTACTAATGGTCAACTTAGAGATAGTCCATAGTCTTTGTTGAAGTTAGGAGAAGTGGCTTTAATTCTGGAAAATTAAAATTTAGCTCATAAACCAATTTGTATGCCTTTTATCCCGTTAAATTGCTTAGTAAAAAACAAAAAATATAAAAGTAGATTAAACATACCTTCAGTCAGTAATTTTGTCAACAATTTCAAATTTGTTTTGATATCGGTCTTCATTTTAGTCAATGATGTCTCTCCACAACGCAATCGATTAAATGAAAAGAATATTAAAATATTTAATAGGTATTTTATAAATTTCATAATGATACTATTAATATGGTATGCCATTGTCTTTTTTGTGAGCCTATACCTGAAATGTGGAGCATTTGGCGTGCGTTACTTATTAGAGCGTCATCCATATATCTAACAATCATCATTAACATATCTAGTCATTCAAACTCTTATATATAGATCACTTAAACGCATGTAATATTCCTTAAGAAGTAAATTTTTTGTTTGAATTTAGCATTTCATAGTATATTTTACATCATTGGAAAGAGGAGATCATACATAATACAAAAAATAGAATATTTTGCAATGTGTACATAATGTCATGTGACAATTCTTTAAAAATCAAAATTTCAATTTTCAAATGGATATAACTCGGGGAAGCAACGAAAAAGAAAATATAATTAGGTAGATCTCACATCAGATAAGTAAAGAACACTAACAACATTGTATATCACCATCAGGTAAATATTGGGCACTAGCATTGTATATCACCACCAGGTAAGTATTGGATACTAGCATTGTATATCACCATCAGGTAAATATTTGCACTAGCATTGTATATCACCATCAGGTAAGTATTGGATACTAGCATTGTATATCACCATCAGGTAAATATTGGGCACTAGCATTGTATATCACCATCAGGTAAATATTGGGCACTAGCATTGTATATCACCATCAGGTAAATATTGGGCACTAGCATTGTATATCACCATCAGGTAAGTATTGGATACTAGCATTGTATATCACCATCAGGTAAATATTGGGCACTAGCATTGTATATAACCACCAGGTAAATATTGGATACTAGCATTGTATATCACCATCAGGTAAGTATTGGATACTAGCATTGTATATCACCATCAGGTAAATATTGGGCACTAGCATTGTATATCACCATCAGGTAAGTATTGGATACTAGCATTGTATATCACCATCAGGTAAATATTGGGCACTAGCATTGTATATCACCATCAGGTAAGTATTAGGCACTAGCATTGTATATCACCGCCAGGTAAGTATTGGATACTAGCATTGTATATGACCATCAGATAAATATTGGGCACCAGCATTGTATATAACCACCAGGTAAATATTGGATACTAGCATTGTATATCACCATCAGGTAAATATTGGGCACTAGCATTGTATATCACCATCAGGTAAGTATTGGATACTAGCATTGCGTTTTTTACCATCAGATAAGTTTTGGACACAAGCATTTTATATCACCATTAGATAAGTATAGGATACTAGCACTGCGTATGTTACCTTCAGGTAGCTATTGGGCACTTGTAAGTAGAGGACACTAGTGCTGTATACATAAAAGCAAATATCCTCGATTCGGCAGCTGTTCCAAAACACACATGTTAAATGTCATCTAACGTCGGCCACGAAAACCGAGGACATTACACTGTGTTCTTTTAGTAATAAACAATGAAACTATACCAGTCCTATTACTGACCCTGGATTAACTGTCAGGTTTTGTAATTATTTTCACGCCCCATTATCGCCATACAAAACTAGAACTAAAATAGATGTCACAACGACATGACCTGGATTTAAAAAAAATAATATCAAATAAAGTTATGAAATGCAAGGAAAAAGTTTGCGTTGGCCATGTGGTTCTATTTAACGGTTTTATGAAGGATTTCATTATTTAGTAACGTTGTTGAAAAGAGAGACGTTTTCAATGATTTTTTTATCATGTTGTAACTGCTGTAACCTATTGAGCATAGCTATTTGTACATGCTGACAACACACGGCAACACATACACCAAGACATATGCAGAATATTAGGAAAGGAAATTTATGTACACACCTCACTGTCTAAATCCATGTGTGTCCGCGTTCGACAGTTAAATGACGACTCGTCTTTTCTTGGGACTACGTGTCTCCATCATATATAGACTTTATTAGAAAGTAATATTTTTAGTATGGGGTATATTTGAAGGGATTATGCAATTTTCGTGCAATATCAGGACTATACATAATGTATTATATTCAAATATGTTTTATTCCCTTTAAATTTTGTCTTTGCAGGTTTAACCATATTAAACTTTAACAGTGTGCCATTTTGGATGGTTGATTTGAGTCTTGAACATACTAGGAATTTCTTTTCCTATTTCCATAGATGACTTTTCTATATATGGCAGTGTCTCTTAACTTTAAAACGCGGATAATTCTGGGCACATGTGGGTTTGAAGGTTCAAATTTTGATGGTGAGCTGTGAACACTATTACTGATTGACTTTGCTAATTCCCGTTTCTGAGTCTAAGGTACGATTGGTGAAAACAGACACAACTGAAACTTTGAAATATATTTTAAATTTCCATAACACAATTGTAAATGTCAATCGATGGGGACAAAATGTACTCTTGAACCAGCAAAAAGTCTTTACTAACTTGAAAATTCAACATACTAACTTGAAAATTCAAAAACAAAAAAATGAATGGCCCTAATATGCTTCCGTACATATCCAACGATGACACAGTCTTTATTCTGCAGTAAATTATTGTATACTACTGTTAGCCTATTTTTGGGGTCTTGATTTGAATTTTGACATCTGAAATTGGCTTTTCCTCCTTTTTTCAGGAAAAAAGAAGAGATTTAAATACACAAAATAAATGTGGAGAAGGATTTCAATTTGCATCGTCTTCTTAAATCGATACAATTTTTGACCAGATATTGAGTATTGTCCAGGCTTTCACTGACATGAAGGAACGTTTTTCACAGGATTTCCGGAAGAAGTTTAGTGAATGTTGAATTTCGTGATTATGGATATAGATGCTGTTTAATTCGCGAAATGAGTCCATACTATTTGTGCGATAATTTATGCATATAAATATGATAGGTTTGTTTTCAACTTTAGCTGTTAAAAGGATCCACGCTATGTAGTGTGCAATAAGGGAAAACTTACCAGGTTAATAGTATTTAACTTCATTGTTACGATGGTTATTTGAAAAAACAAGAATTGGCGTCGAAACAAAATAAGTTTTCATTTATTTTTTTGTCAGACATCACTTTTTTAAAACAAGCATAGACAACAACAACAATAAAATATAAATTTCAAAATAACACTTGCGTCCACCAGATATAACAATAAATATCACAGAATCACATTTTTGGAAGCTGCATTTGACTTCTCGATTTAATTTTATCAGCACTGCTCAATTTTAGGGTCTGTAACCAACGCTCACATTTGTCATGACCGTCGTCGGTTACGTGATTATGTCCATGATAACGAACAGAGTCATCATCTGACGTTTCACTGAACCGATAATCAATACTGACTTCCGGTGGACTGTCGTAAAGATCGGAGAAAGTTTTCGAATCACGATTATAACTTTTATCCATTTTTAAATTATTGTCCTCACGTAAAGGTAATCTTAGATTTACCTCCCTTGAAGTACTGTCAGTGGAAGGCAGGCGATCAAATTTGTTGTCTTTCCGAGTCCGTCTGTTTAACTTGGGTGTAGAACTCGGGGATGATGGGTCCCAACCGGAAGGAGATCGATCATGAAACGATCTATTACTACGCCTACTGCCTGGAGTCGATGGTGGTGTTGGAGTGGTTGATCTGTCTGACTCATCTGCGAAGTGGAAATTGCAAGTTGCGTTTATTCCATTATCGTCATTTGGTTCCTCAATTGTTTGCATTGTGTCACTTCCGGGCGATTCAGCTTTGACTAATGCTGATGCTAACTGTGGACATGATCTGTACCGGGATAAGGAAGCTGTGGAAGGTCTTCTGGAAGAGTTTACTGATTCAGGTCCAAAATCATCCTCATCGTGATCTCGAAGTTCTAATAGCATTCCAGATTTACGACGCACTTGATTTTGAGGTCCGTTCATAATACTGCTATTTTTATCTGAACAATCATTATTCACTGTTAGTTTGTCTTTATGTGAGGGTGAATTACTCGCCATGCTTTTTCAAACCTGAAAATATAAAAAAAAAACGTTTACATTATTCACAGGAAAATATTCCTCACTCATGTAAGTTGTAGGGCTGTAAGCATTAAAGTTAGGAGCATTTGTGATCGCAAATCACTTGTAAAGCTGCAATAATGAAATTTTATTTCGAATTTTGAGACACAAACAAATTCGCCTTTCAGTAGTAGCCAAAGAAGCATAAGATGTATTGATATACTCTGGATCTCAATGTTTAGCAAGATCACATCCCAGCATTATTAAGAGAATAAAACTAAACACAAAGACTAAACACTAAACAATTTTAATATTTAAACAAATTTGGTATCAAAAATGGAAATAAGCAAGCAATATGTCGACATCTTCATCTTATTATGTATATTGTGTTAATGTACTACTCGTTGGAATTCAAGAATCTAAATCTAAAATTTTTTCCAACATGATTTATAGTTTGGTATATATAGCGTTCCGGTAGATATGGATTATTTGAAGCGAATAGATGATGTTACTTTATGTGTGTGGTCTTCTTCTTAATATAGCACCTGAACGTTAATTTAAATCAACTGCTATATTATTGATAACAGTTTCGTCTGGGATGCCAGTAACAGTAATAGGCCCCTCCTACTCAAAGCTACAGATTAGATCTTGTAAAAAGTCATTAATTTGAAAAGGGAAGTTGTGAAAATTTATATTGTGACACTGAATGGAAATTGACCCACCACACAATTAAATATTTCCGTCTGTTACCTAAAACGTGCACTGCCTGTACAGGGTTCAATTTAGAATTAACAACTTGATTAGCAACAACTTTTAGTTTTGGCTGATTAATTTAAGTTTTGATTAGCATTGCATACAAATTTGGTAGCAAATTTAAAATGTTCCGGTTGTAGGATCTCAAATATAATAGTAATGTTAGATACAATGGATGAGGGTTTTTCGTGATAAATTGTGATTCTGGTTTAGCATAAAAAATATTAGATCTCTCAAATTGAACTTACAGGATAGTAATGGAAGTAGAGTTGTATAATTTACGGGTAGGGGGAAGAAAAGAAGTAGAGACAGAGTAAACGGAAGAAGAGTCAAAGGCGTAGAGACATTGAAGTAGGGAGAAAGGAAGAAGAGACACAGAGAGAGTGAAGTGAAGAGAAAGGAAGAAGAGACAGAGAGAGTGAAGTAGAGAGAAAGGAAGAAGAGACAGAGAGAGTGAAGTAGAGAAAAGAGAAATGAAGAAAAGACAGAGAGAGTGAAGTAGAGAGAAAGAAAGAGAGACATAGAGAGTGAAGTAGAGAGAAAGAAAGAAGAGACAGAGAAAGTGAAATAGAGAGAAAGGAAGAAGATAATTATTGAAGTGGAGAAAACGGAAGAAGAGAGAACGATAGAACAAGCAGAGTGACATAGGAAGAACATAGGACAGAGTGGAGTAGGTGTATGATAGGCAGAGGAGCACAGATTTATTAGAGGTGAGAAACAGCGAAGAAGACGTTAAGATGAGAAACAGTTTCAAAGGAAAGAAAGGCAGTGAGGGCAGAGAAAATTATGGAGGAATGGGGGAGGGGGGCACGGGGCATATAGGGAGAAACTGTTCGTAGAAGGTCGAAGACTGTAGAAAGAAAGGAAGTATAATTCAGCTCAAAGGATCTATGGGATACACTCTTTTATTGGAAGGTGCTTATTGTACCTTCGTGCATTGCTTCGAATTACGGTACTCCGAAGACTCATCATGGTTAGTTGACTATCAAAACCAGAATTTGTACGGTTCGGATTATTGTCGACCAAAATTAGATTTTAAAAAAATATCATAAGTTATCTCAATGGTCAAACGAAATAAGAGAGAATTCATTCCCTTGAAATAAAACGTATATAGAACGTAACTATTTAAATAAAAAAAAACATTCGCAATTCATAAATATTGGGTCGCAATGAAAAATATTTTATGTAATTCAAATGTAATAATGAAATAATTATAGTGAAACATAAAAAAATACGAGCTTTGCCTATTTTTATTGTATTTGGCTATGATTCTCATCATACATATACAACTTTGAAATGATTCGCATATCTTCGTTATAAATTTTGATTATGGTTCATCGTAAGCTCGTTGAGCCATCTTGGTTTACATTTATGTAAGATTACAACTGATACTGAAAGCCGGTAGAGGTAGCTAATTTTCTAAGAGTAGATAAATTGAAAATCGGATGACCACGTTCCTTTAAAAAGATTATTGATCAGGAATTAAATTTGATATTAAAGTTATATATAGGTAAAACGAATTAGAATATAAGATTAACCCACTTGTTAACTATAAGCTGCTTATTATTTACAAGACGATAACTTGCATGAGACCTTGGAACAGCTACTGGAATGTTGCACTAATATATATTGTAAAAATGATTATTGGTTAATATTTCAATATCATTTGGATAATTTGAAAGCGTTTAAATGCCCTGCCTTTTCAAGGCATTTATTGCCTGATAAACATATAATAGATAAATAATATAAAGTCATCATTGGTAAACAATTCCAATAAATGTACTCAGCATCTAATGCTTGTGGTTTAAAGAAGTTTCGGTACAAAAGTAGTAGTCGATTACGACATCAGATTTCCAATCAAGAGTCGCGATGACTTCTTATGAATTTGAAGCCATTTACAATACCTTTGAAACAATCTTTAGTCCAGTCATGTTTAACCTTACAACTTATGATTAGTCTGGTTATTACATTTCCAACTGGTCTATGACAGAGTGTATACCATTATTAACCTTTGGCTTGTATTTAAGTTATGGACTTGGTTCAGTACAAATCACGAAGACCACAAAACTAATTCCATAATACACAGTATAAAAGAATCTCCGCTTCTTATAGCATTGTATGAAAACTATGATAAACCATTCATTCGTAATTTACATTTTAATGTATTCAACTGCCGATCCAAACAAGCGGTTTAATTACTTATGAATTATTTTTCTCTCCAGATATGAACACACGTCAGGGTTTGCTGGCTCTTTGAGCGTCTTTTGCCAATGCAGAATACCATGTTACATAAATACCCTACTGCTGGATGATTGTATTTGTCTGGGCATTTTCTTTTAACTGGTTTTAACAGATCTAATCGATACAAATATGTGGCACTTTATAGTTTCCCATCCATTTAGGGGCATCTATACAGACAGTACAGAAAGGCAGTCTCTATGTAGAAGACTTCAAACGAATTGAATCAAATGAAATTGTGATTTACGTCATGCTCTCTGCGCTTGACTGCAGACGTACAAAACCAAGCAGAGTTCAAAGGGGGAATTCTTGCTGCAATATTGGCATCAGTCTTTTCTGTTTCGACTTTTAACTGTCGAGGGATCTATAACGTGCACAACTTCTAGTACACCGAGACTTGGTTAATTATCCCAACCTAATGACAAGATGTCTGTTTTATGTCATGTCTTTTTTATGTCAGATCTAAATCATTGACAGGTAATTGAGATGAAAAATCAAGGTATATTTTGACCTGTGAGGCAACAGACAGACGAAGATCCCAGACCATAGTGACACTAAGTCAATTTTAAAACCAGTCTTTATCACGATGTAGAAGCTAATGTTAGTTAATTTGAACCAATTTGTTTACCCAGGTCTAGCTGAAAAGCTTGAACAATGATGTATTGCTACTTTTCATTGTATGGTTTTGTCTAGTAATTGTCAACTTCAATATAAAACATGATACGATGAAGTGGCAATTAGCTGAGATTTTAACCAATCAAATTTCTCGTTATTGACAAAACAACGTTATCGACACCGTTTCTTTTCTAGTAAATCTATGAACTGATACGTGTTTGTTACGATGATTGAGCAAAGCGTACCAATAGTTCCAAAGCATCAAGAAATTCGCCTAGAACAAGATTTATTTTAGAAATGCAACATGAAGCAGTTGTGCTTAAATTTATGTACATGTATTAGTAATTAAATTGGAATTCGAATTATGTGACAAAAAATGTATTTGTCAGTTGTCCAGCTATGGTCTTTTATAATTATCTTTCTACGACAAACCTGAATAAAGTCAGAAGATTTGATAACTATCATAATATTTTCAATGTTACGAAAAATAAAAGATACATTGACATATTTCAATAAACAAATTATTTTCATACTGTTGATTAAATTAGTGATGGATCATTCTCCAGATGTACCAAATAGCCATGCAATGAAATACATCTGTTAGTTGTTCAGTTAATACTTTTTTTTTTATCTGTTACGGGCACATCTGTAATTTATCGGTAGACTGGTAGGGGCACAGATATTTACTAAATAAAACTGGTTGTTCTTTTGGATCACGGGGATGGTTATGCTGCAGATGTGTCAGAATATTTTTTTTATTTCAAGAGATTATTCTTATCCACTTCAGAGTTAATAACCGCGAGGTGAAAATATAAACTTTGTTTCTGAGTAGTTTTTGCTAAATTTTATCCGGTATTTTGTGCTACAGTCCAGATAAATGCGTACATTTTTCTACATTCTTAAGGAACCTGAATCACTTTTATATGGACATTATCAATGGACATTCTGTTCCCAAGCAATATTAATGTACATCCAGCTATTTGTAATAGATAATATCGAATGTTCAGCCTTTAACAATGTCCACCGGATTCCGAACATAACTGGGTTAAACTCTTTAACAAACTTTTTTACAAACAACTTTACTTTGTTCACATCCTAAATAAATATTATATTTACTTGAGCAAGGGACAATGCTTATTTCTAACTAATTGTTGACCCACTGTCAATAGATGAGTGTAAATTGAATTGACCGTTATAGTACAAATGGGAAATGTCAATATATCAAAGCATTATAATTGACATTAAATTGACATTGCAGTCGTGTATTTACACGTACGCGTTATGTCAATATATGAAAAGTTTATGTGTTCAATTTTATCTATGCCATGGGTTTCTTTATCAATTAAATTGTATGATTGCGATAAACATAAAAAGCTTTTTTCTATTATCAAGCC